GGGGGGGGGGGGGGGGCGGCGGGGGGGGGGGGGGGGGGGGGGGCCGGCCTTTTGGGGGGGGCAAACCTTTAAATTGTGTCTCTTCCCCCCCCCCCATCAGCAGGCACCAGTCATCTCTGGCAGAATCCCCGAGTCCCACCACCCCACTGCAGGGCAGAAGCCCCAAATTCCCCCTCCCCAATCTGGTAGGTGGAGAATGGGAGGTGTGAGGGGAGCACCGCGAGCCTCACTAACTGTAAAAAAGCCATATACGGCTTGCGAGCCACGGTTTGGCCATCCCTGCCATAGTACATAAAAATATCAACACTGCAAAAAAATTATGAATAGCATAAAATATACATGTTGTCTGCAATTTGTAGTAGCCACTGCACTTTAAAAAGTTCCTTCTGTAAGAAATTTGTGTCTGGATTCCTCATTCAAAAACTGCTAATATTATCAATATACTTGAAGATAAACAGACAGTCTAAAGAAATTTCTAATAATCCACAACTAAATTAATTTCCCCATTATAATAAGCATATTATAACCACTAGTTGTTTCTGCCAAGTTGATTATGATGAAATCAGTATCTGGGATAGCAACTCTCCTTAGCTGTTTGTAGAGGACAAAGTCTATTACATGGAAATGATAGATTATTAGGTTTGTGATGTTTAGAGTACACATGCAAAGAGAATTTTAGTGGTGCAAAGTGGATCAAAAAAGTACTTCTTGTACCAATCAGAAATGCTGGCCAGAGAGTATTCTCAGACCTTGTTCTGTTCTTATTCTCTTGGCAGTGTGGTTTAGTTCACAGAATGCACAGGTTCTCAACAGTACCTTTTCCTTTACATTATTTATAAATAAACCAGTAGCCTCATCTTCCCTAGGAAAAATCTCTCCCAGTTTCTCTCTCTGAGAGAGAGAGAGAGAGAGAGAGATTGATTGATTGATTGTATTTCCATGCACATTATATTTCCACAAAAATGCACACTGCTGTTCTAATAAAGGTCCATTGATGTAGCAGAGCTAGTTATACACCTTTTTCTGGAATGAAGACTAAACGAACTTCATTAATAAAGAAATTAACCTCACTTAAAAGCTATGGCAAGGGCACATGTTTGCTTTATCAGTTAAGATGAGCATGTTTAAGGAAATATTAAAACGAGACCATCACCAGAAAGTGAACTGCAGAGCAAGCATGAAATGGAGTTTTACACAAATTTCTTTGCTGAATGTGCCCTCATGAAGTACAGGGGGCATCAGCACAGAAATAAGTTTTAACTAACTTTTAAAAAATATATATATTCCCTCTCTTTGAATCAATCCTCTTGGAACTTCCTGATTCTCTGAAGCTATCCTGGACAGTGACATCATAAATATTAGAAGTCGAGCACTTCATTTTATTTGTGATGGAACTGAATGATGCTTTTTGGGGTATCTTCAGTGAACCAAAATGTACTAAGAGCATTTGATAGAAATTTTTTTAGCGGATTAGTTAAAACTTACTTCTGTGCTCAGTGTTCTCAATAGCTTACTTAGTAAGAGAAATCCGTATTTAACTTGATTTTAATTTTTGCTCTGAAGTTCATCTGTAAGTAATAATGATGAAGGAGCAGGGTAATTTCCTGGGGATTAATAACAGGCTGGGATGAGTTGATGGCTCAGGGCACAGTCATGGGCCATTAACAGCAGATGATCATTAATCTCCAGGAAATGCCCTGCACTCAGAAAATGCAGTTATTGCTATAATTGGGCAAAATTGGAAAACAATGGGCATACAGATTTTTTTTTTTTTTTTTTAAAAAGGGTGGTACAGTTACAATTAGCACAAAGAGAACTACCCTGAATACCCTGGTGTATTAACCACTCATGTTGCTTAAAATATCTGCCAATATTCCAATTCAGCTTACAATTTATTACTTAGCATGAGACTGAAAATTTTTCACATCTGCTCTAGTAGAGCCTTACTTTCTCAACTATCAGCACTGTAACCACTAGCTGCATTTCCAGTTTCCTACCTGCTACACAGAATTTCATGATATTAAGTACTAATTTTACCAGTTTTTGCTGTTAAAGACATGATGTCCCTGGAAAAGACCCACATTGGCTAACTGTTCACCTTTCCCTCCTCCCCCGCAAAGCTATCCCCATGGAACTGTATACTGCAGCCTAATTAAAAATGAGAATTCTTCAGTTAAAGCATCTTTGAAAAATAGTCGTGCGAAACTGGTATTCTCCCTTACCTTCAATAACCTTTATTTGAAATAAAGGATATTGAAGGTATGTTTATAGGAGAGGGCTAAGAAAACCTGTCTGAACTTAAAACGTTCAACAGGTGCAACAGTATGTTACCAATGAATTAAAATCCCATAACGTGGTCACGAAATATTTCTACAATCTATAAACAGTGCAACTACTTCTTCCCTATAATACATCAGAGAATGACCTGCTTCTTTTCCATCGTAATACATCACAACCCTGTTTTAAACATGCCTGTGACATTCTCCTTAGTTTTGAATAGTTTTCAAGCTACCTCAGAAAGACATTACCATATTCTGTGTGTTATTTTCTGTCCCTCAGTGGAATAGCAAAGAGTTGTTTTGTGGTTGGTGGAGAACTTTTTAACAACAACGTCCCACTTCTGCAAACACTTACACATGTGCTTAACTTTACTCATGCTAGTAGATCACTGAAACGGGGGACCTAACAATTTAACATTAGAAAACAAGTTAACTATAACCAGCACAATTTCTTGATGAATAATAACTTCACAATAAAAGAGTTAACTGTGTCTTCTTTCTTTCTTTAAAACACAAAATAAAGCAAATGAGTGACTTGATTTTTTCAAACTGTGTCATATATTCAGTCTACCAGATTTTTTTTAAAATGGGTAATATGCTCTACATTGGAAAATAAATACAATGGTACAGAATTCCTTTTTTGTAGCAGGGGCAGTATATAGCAACTCTAGCAACATACACCAGGCTATCGTGTTTGCTGCATTGGGTCCTCATACTATAGTGGACTATGATGTGCTGCTTGCTGCCCTATGGGCGTTTTCTTTGTTGCACTGGTAAAGATACTAGAGATAGATTAAGATAAAGAGAGAGGGAGAGAAAAAGAAAGGCATACCGAGAACTTCTATGCTTTTGTAGGAGCCATTCTAGCTCACTCTATACAAACCTGGAGTGCTTCTGGAGAAACGTAAATAAATAAAAGAATTTTTGAAAGGAACAGCTGTGATAAAACATTAGGCGTTCACCCTTTTAGGTTTACCTGAATCTCCAGACAAGGCAGCTGTGCTTTTACTTCTGGCCAGGAATGAATGTGTGGGCATCAGCAGTCTGCTAACAATGCTCTTCTCCAATGCACTGAGATTTAGACGGCGAGCTGAATATGCACCACAGAAGCAAGAGGTTAGATCAGACTCTTTCTGCAAATCACCATACATTGCAGAAGACGCCTCAAAATACTGCACCCAGCCATAGAGGGGCATCTTCAAATTATGATTCAGATATTAAGAGCACATAGGTCACTTGTATATTTTAGTCATAACCCACTTTACTGCTTCTATCTGTAAATTTTAAACATTTACTCTCTTTGCACTTCTTTTTCGTTATTTTGCTGACATAATATGCTAAACTGCTACCAAGTCCTAATATTTTGTTCCTATCCCCAACTACAGTACATAGATTTTAACTCGTGTTTTTTGTTCCCATACTTTTCTAGACACGAGCAATTACATATACATTAAAAAAAAGAGGGAAGCCTGTCAATCATATTAGAAAAAATGTGTCGTTTGCTAGCTAGAACAGAGAGAATACCGTCATAATCCTTACAAAAGGATTTTCTGGTTAGGCCCCTAGCATTTCTCAAAAATCTCTTTGGTCCACTCTCAAATGGGACCACGTTTCCCTTAATCATGTATACAGAGACCAGATACTACAGTGATGGGCATATCAGAAGTTATTACATATACACTGGAGACTACTGATCAATAAATCATAATCATCTTAACACTGCAAGTAATGTCAGGTTTTATTGCATCTAAAACATCCATTCACCATAATTTGGTTTTAGGGGTAGCAAGCAAGATTGCAACTTGAATTCATTAGGCCTGGTCTCTAAAATGGTACCCAATTGCCAGACTTACACTGGAGACTGAGGTATTTTTTTAAATGTAGAGGGTCAACATTATTAATTAAAACCCTGAACTACTCTTAATCCACTTTGCTCTGGGTCCCATGAAAAGAGGGGCTGATCTTAATAATAAGTATTATCCTACGAGAGTTTAATTTCCTCAGCTGCCCTCAAGCACTGATTTTTTGTACCCAAAGCTGCTCTCCTGAATTCTGCTAACACAAAAGTGGCACCACTATAGAAATATAGGTCTCACAAAAGCAGCAGGCTGTTTGCATAAGTGCCCTTACATAATGAACTACTGCAAAAGCTCTTTTCGATTAATGGAACTGTTTCGAGGCTTGCACAGATTACACAAAGTACAAAATACTCTAAAAGGTCTCCATTAACGTACACTAGTTATCATTAAGCTTGCATCTCGACAATGAGGAATAAACCATAGAACATAATTATTAAACTGAAGGGCAGAAAATCATTTTGTTTCCCCTCTGAGCCTGTATGTTCTGTGTGTCCATTATTTTAGCTACTATGCAAGACCAGGGATTTGTTCACTGTCTCTTAATCTTTAGAAATTGAGTTTGATTAATTGCATGCTAGCAAAGTATAAGTTTGAGGGAGTTTAAAAGTTGAGGCTAACGAAATATTGTCACCATAATTAAATCTGAGCAAAATCCCACAGACTATTATGTCAACGCAAAGGGCACTCACGTGGTCAGAAGAACAAGTACTAGACACAAAATCGGGACCTACTCCTGATGAGCACTTATTTTCAAGTATAGTACTTACTACTACCATGTGTAGTCCTGTTGATCTCAACAGGGCTAAACACACAAACATTACACTCAGTGGTAAGCTTTTGTAGGATTGGGACCTAGGAATCCACAGTGAAAAGCGCACACACACACTGTAACAAAGTGGTCTGCCCCTTTATAGGCCAGGGTGTCTGGGACTAGCCAGCCCTGTTTCATTATCAGACCCATCCGAGAAGGGCTCAGGTGTTCCCAATAAAAAGGCTGAGAAGATTCAGTTGATGGGGCTGTGGGAAGGAGGTTGGCTCCTGTAGGGTAGCACTGGAGCAGAGTAAAAGGCCTCTGGATCCTGACAGCCTGCTTTGGTAGGGAGTTTTGTGATACTTTGTTGACTTTGGTTTGAATTAACAAAAACTGTGTCCTGCAGGAAGGGCTTGAAAGATTTGCAGCAGAGCATCAGTCCTCCCTGGGCTGGGGAGACAGGCCAGCACGCTTGCACATGGTGGAGATGCTGGGGAGGGGATGGGCCCATGGAACTGAGACAGTGGCTAGCCTGAGCCCAGACCAGGTAAGGCAGCCCTGCTACATACATATTGACAAATAAAAACACATAACATGCCCACTCACTCATGAGGCCATGTTGTAATCAAAGTCTTTTGAGTATGTGGAGACCCACAGATTTATTCTCCCATCACTGCATTGGGCAGCTGCATATAGAACTCTCTCATCCCTTAATCAATCAGAGAATACAGACTCCCCTCCCCCAAATGCATTTCAGAACACGTTTCTGCACAAAGGAACCAAATATTTGTGTTTACCACCATAATTATAAGTCAAATAAACACTGGCTGTACCACCATAGGAAAAAAAACAAACCAAAAACAAAAACCAGTAGTTCCAGCCATTTACAGGGTAATTAGCAACAATGAACCGGCTTGGAAGGCAAGCAACAACGATGAACTTTCAACACCATAACAAGCAGAAAGGAAGAATATTTGCAATCTACCGCCATGCTACCCCTTAATTAACATCTTTGTGATGAAGTTTTAAGAGAGGAGTAATTTTAACCTGATCACAAGTAGGGACTAGGAAGAAGTGAACCAACCATTTTTGGCAGTGCTTTGCAGAGTTTCTCTAGATCAGTGGTTCCCAAACTTGTTCCGCTGCTTGTGCAGGGAAAGCCCCTGGTGGGCCGGGTCGGTTTGTTTACCTGCCGCGTCCGCAGGTTCGGCCGATCGCTGCTGGAAGCAGCAGCCAATACGTCCCTCAGCCCACGCCGCTTCCAGCAGCTCCCATTGGTCTGGAGCAGCGAACTGCGGCCACTGGGAGCCGCGATCGGCCGAACCTGCGGATGCGGCAGGTAAATAAACCAGCCCAGCCTGCCAGGGGCTTTCCCTGCACAAGCGGCAGAACAAGTTTGGGAACCACTGCTCTAGATAAATTAAGTCTCAAGATCCCATTTAACATAAACTGAGCTTCTGACAGCATTAAAAAAGGCTGAGCAAACTAGATTGGCACTTTTTTCTATTTAAATAGTGTGAATATTTAAAAATTGGACCTTGGTTCTGAAACCTCCTCCAAATCTCTCTGATGGGTGTAAACCAGAAACCTGCACTAAAACTCTCCGGAACTTTGCAGCCTAGGTTAATCTCATATTGAAATTATTTATATTCATAGCTTCTAAGAAAGCCATTAGGGTAAAAAGTTTAGCTGGAGCGGCCAACTAAACTGTGGCCTCTGGGCCTAATGTGGCTCATGGAGCTGCAAAAAGAGGCCTGCAGCCACCTTCTTCTTTAATGCAGAGATGTGGTCCTGGATACTACAGGTCCCAGCATGCAGTACAATACCGCGGGGGCATGGATCAGCGTTCACATCGCAGTGTACTCCTGATCAGTACCCGGGCCAAGCTGGGGAAGCTAATGATCCAACCAGCGGACCAAATTCAGTTATGAATCCTGGTCACACGTCACGTGAGGCACCTTGCGCATACACTAAGAAGGCATTTTAACTGTTCAGACCTGTAATCTACACAGGTTGCACCTCCAAATTAGAAGAGAGGGTAGATGTAATCAACTCAATTTTATGCAAAACCAGATGTGGTCTTTGGTCTCCTGGCAAGTTGCCAATGCGTCCTCGGGGGGGAGGGAGTGTCAAAGGTTAGCCACCTCTTGCGTAAAGCATAAGCAACTTTTTATTTCAAGACTTTCAAAACAATTATTTGGGGGGCAAAGAAAACAAGAAGAGAGGCCTCTTCATGGGTGTATCCAAGATGAAGTTCGGAAGCATAAACCTTTCCAATTCTTCCACTTCTTTTATTGAAAAACTGATGACCTGTACTGCCAACCCCAAACGTTCAAAAAAGCAGACGTCAGGCCCCACAGCATCATGAGATTTTTTTACATCTCATGATTTTTAAGACAAATACATGTTCAGAGTGGATCAAAATCTATTAAAAAAAATTAAAGCATGGGATTTTTAATTTTAAATCAGATGTTTTGATTAAATGATTTTTTAATTTTATTTAAATTATGTTTTTCATTTAAAAAATAAACCCGTTTAAAATGAAATCTGAACTTGATAAAAAATATGTTAAGGCCTAAACTTATAATCTTTTAAATCATTTAAATCAAATATAAATATGCTGAATCTGTGAGTCTCTATCAAAAACTTTGAGTTAAAGTCTGCTTTTCTACATACAAAATCTGAATCAGGGAGAAAACATCTAATTATTGAGATTAAGCTGTATAAATATAGCACAATAGGTCACCCTAAGTGACTTGGGAGACTGTTTTCTCATTTTCAAGAGAGTCAGGCAAGTTGGAACTTAAGCTCCAGTCACTTTCACTTAGGCACATTTGAAAATTTTCCCAGGCTGACCTGAAACAATTAGTTAATCCCTCAGTTTAATAAATCATTTAGTTGTAAATATGAAACATGTTTTGATTAGAGAAGTTTATGTATCCAAAACATGTAAGGTTATTTTAATAAAAAAAAATGTGATATGCTGTTTTGTGTGTTTAATGTAATTCCAGTTAATATCCTAATGCAGCTTGACACAAATCATGTGCAAAAATTAATTATACAGTAAATTTATCATTCACCATTTTCTAACATACCAAGAATGTACAATTAATAAGAATCAAACTATTAAGCTACATAATTGCTTAAATAAATGTATACAGTTCTAGTGTACCCTCCTAGGTAGCAAAAAAGATGCAATTTTTTTAAGCATCTCTGGTATCAAATTTAGTTTAAAGACTCTGTTACTTGTAAATCAATGTTTTAATGGTTATATCAACCAATGAGAATGCACCTTTCTTTAGAAAATAACTGAAGTGCAAATGGAAAAGTTGATTAAAATTAATTACTTAAATTGAGGTTTTCCACTTGGTGGTTTTAAATCACCTTGATTTAAACGAATCCACCCTATAAATGTTAGGTTCTTTTTATTTTGAAGAAAAACAATTTCAGAGAGGATGGCCTTGCAAAGCAAAGAATGTGTAACTTCCACAGAACCTAAAATAACATCCAGTTAATGATGTTTTCCTTGAAGAACACTATCTAATTTTCTTAAATGTCTCTTGCATCGACTCCCTTGTTTGAATTATGTTAATTATTCATGTTTAGTTGCAGGGATTTAAACAGCTGAACCTTTATAACAAACAAAAAAGTACAGTTTGAAACCCATTTTAGCTGCCTGACTAGTTTTAAAACTGTAATAAAAAGCTGCACAATAATGCTGAACTTGAAAGGGAATGAATAAATTATTTAAAAAAGACTTATGGGCAAAGTTAAATGTTCATTAATGAAAACCTTTTTCTTAGTATGAACTGAAAAGTCCCCTGTTCTTCAACCATTTAAAAGATACTACGTAACAGAAGTCATGTCCTTGGTGGCAGATATAAGCCACCTACGATAAGCTCATCATACTACAGTTCCAGGCATCATGCTTAGGATAAGGGCAAAATCTGCCTGGGTGCACTGAGGAAGATGATGAAGGAGCCTCTTCTTTCTCTTGCACAGCACAGTTCTTTTAAGAGCCTTTCTTAAGAGCTAACTGGAGAGGCCACTCCGTGACTCTAAAGTTAGGGGCTCAGCTAGGTTAGGGTGGAGCCAATGCCCTGCGTACCTGCTAGCAGGCACTAGTGGAACATTCACTAACTTTTTTCAAAATCAAATTTAAAGAGACTTATAGAGGACGCCAGTGTTGCCCTGTCCTCTGAGCACATCCGTAAGTGTTGGCGAAGGCATAAGGGCTAAGCCCTATTTTAATGAAAACTGCTACTGCTCTTTTAGTGTTCAGGCAGAGCAAACACTGCCTCACTGTTTAGGGTTTTAGCTAGAAGACCCTATGCAATAAACTGCATGGGATGGTACTTATTAGACTAGCTTGATAGGATGAAAGGCTTTGTCAGCCCTGAAGAGATTTGAATCTGTGATTCCAAGGAGTCTAGTATTCACACCTGAGCCCTGAAGCACTACACCTTCTTGCCTGGAGGATTTATTAGGTGAAATGTCTCCACACTGGGGTAATGTACTCAGGGCCGGCTTTAAGCACCGCGGGGCCCGATTCAAAGGAGACGCTGCCGAAGTCCCGCCGCTGTCTTCGGCGGCAGCTCAATCGCTGCTGCGGAGGAAGGACCCTCCACCGAAATGCCGCCGAAGACAGCGGCAACGATTGAGCTGCCGCCGCCGACAGTGCCAGGACTTCGGCGGCAGCTCAATCGGCTGCCGGTGCCTTCGGCGGCACTTCGGCGGAGGGACCTTCCTCCGCGGCAGTGATTGAGCTGCTGCCGAAGACAGCGGCAAGACTTCGGTGGCAGCTCCTTCGGGACGTTGCGGGGCCCTTTTAGGGGCACGGGGCCCGATTCCGGGGAATCGGCTGAATCGCCCTAAAGCTGGCCCTGAATGTACTGTATATTATAGGGCACGCACCACACAAACACATTTATAAAAAGCACCTGCTGATCACAGGTTCATTGAGAAATAGATATGAGGCCTAAAAACCATGTGCCTTAAGAAAATCCTGAAGTAACAGTAATACTTGGCACTTGTACTGGTTCCGAATGGAAAGTCAACATTTACCAGCAGCTTGCCAACAACACACAGTGGTATCAGAGATACAGCAGTATTGCCTTATACTTAGCACAGGAAAGTCATATCTGAGATAACACCAGGTGGGAGCTGTTGGTAAATGCTGTGGGGAGCGGGTTATGGCAACTACTATGTACAGTTCTTCGTATTCTCAAAGGACTGTACAAACCTCAATCAGAAGTCTGGATAGTCCTGTGAAAACTCACTTTTTGAAGAGTCTTGTTTCCTTTATTTTAATAATTTATTAATGAGGATAATATAGCTTAGTCCTAACTTTTGCAAAAGTACTACATCTCTGCACAGTCCTGTAGCCTCGTTATCCAGCCTGTCAGTGGCACTATATATAAAATCACCACTGAAAAGAATGGATTAGCCTTTTCAATCTTTTTAAAACATTAAGACCGAGTCAAAAAGTAGATAGATGATTGAAATGAATATGCTCTATTATCCACAAACCCATACAATCGGTTGTGACCACAGGCGCAGTGGGCAATATTCCACAGAATCATCATGCACATTCCACTACTGCCACTGTTTTGTCATAACCCCTCAACAACACCCTACAAAACAGAGCCATCACTTGTAAAGAACGGCAACAGTAAATGCAAAAAATCTGAAAGGATAATGAAATTAATACTGACCGGGTTTCAACAGCTGTTGGAAGAAACTATTGTTCTGGAGTTACATAATTTCCTAAAACTATGACATACTTCCCCCCAAATCAGCAACCTCAGCAATTATTTTAACCAACAGGAAAGAGTTTACTGCTATTGCCCTCAAATCTTATCAATATGGTGTATAGTATTAAACATATAGAAACAAACAGACGTTATATACAGAATCATGCGTACAAATATGCACTCATTGCAGGACATTTTGTTAAAGAGATAAAGATAATGAGGCTTTCCAATCAGTTTCACGATATAACTAAAACTGTATTCTTTAAAATATCTATATATTTTATATATATTTTCTGCGCTCATATACAACAATTCAAATTTGGGATGAAATGCAGGACGTCCCTTCTGTCCTTTGCTGGGAAAGGGAAATGATCCCTTATAGAACATTTTGTCAAAAAGCTTGGTCCATTTCTTTTCACATGAAGTTATCAAAATAACTTATTTTATAAAACTCATTTAAGATGAACTTTGTCTTATAAATTCTCACAATTTAATATTGCATGTTGTGCTGTTGATTAAAAGTCTGATTGTTAATCTTGTTTGCAGATCTGAAAATATCAAGGCATTTCTTCCAACAGAGCAACCTTCTAAAGCTAAAGGAACATAGAAAATCAATAAACAGACATTGTATGAGTCATATCTAACTGCTTAGTTAAATTTAAAATAAATCAGCAACATGAATGTACTAACTACTCAAAAGCTTTGTGAAACATGTTTCCAGAAGTTCAAGAATTGGAACCAAAGTACAAATGAAAAGCAAAAAGGGCAGCATGACTCAACGTAAATAAATGTATAAAAATAAAATGGTTACATGCACTATGGAGAGATGTGTTGTTTCTGTAGCTGCCACTCATTTACTAAAAACCTGACAGAAGCACTGCTTTTATCACTTGCTAAATGAAATCGTTCAGGCAAGTTCTGATCTTTTAAAAATATAGTTCTTCTTGCAAAGAGAATGTTCATTTACTTCTTTCAACCATTTGAAGTCTTTTCATTCCTCTTTAAATAGAGTGCAGAAAATGACTACAAATGCTTACTGTATCTGCAGAGATTGTTAAAAACAATGAATCAATAAAGAGCACTTTTCTCTCTCTCTCTTTCTTTCTTTCTTTCAACTGTACCTCTGTCTGGAGAATTTAGTAATGTTGCAGATGAGGAGGAGAGCCGCTTGTTAATGACTGGATCAACATGTTTCGAGAGGTTCATTGTTGAAACAGACCGCCTGTCTGGATCTAAAACAAATGGAGATAATGCTAATTGACAGCCCACATGCAATAATGCAACTTCCTAGCACACTAACGGGAGGAGAATATAGGACTAGAGAATTTCTGCTCTATCACTAAAACTTTAAAAATAGAAAGGACTTCTCAGTGGACATTTTACAGATGACTTAAAGACTTGGCACAAGATTACTTAATTTAAATTGCAGGTAAATAAACTGATATCCTGGATGTTTTTCAATCAATCAAGCTGTGATCCAAGGTTTCAAATGGAAGATCTGAATGGGCAGCTAATAAACAAGATGAGATTTTAATGTTCACTTCACTGCACTTGCAGATAGGTTTTGCTCTAGGCTCAGATGAAATGGAAAATTACAGGGAATCTGTATCATATTTAATGCTCTGGTCCATCTTTTCAAGACCATGTTATAAAGCAAGAAAGTCCTTAGCATCACTTGAATCACAGATGATATTCAGCAGGGTACTGTTGTGAACCAGGAGATCAATATCCAGAACATATAAAAATAGAAGATAAAGTAAAGGAGGAAGAAAGCTAGCACACAAGACAAATGAGGGTGGGCACAAGAGGAATTCAAAGATAAGGCTAAAAGCCAAAGGGTTCTGTATAGGTAGTATACTCCATATCAGAGAAAGTGATTTTTCCACCTACACTGTTCAAAGACCAAGCTAGTCAGTCCTAAACTGCATGTGATTTAATAGACAAAGAAAATAAATGTTATGTAGAAGACTAAAAAATATTTGTAATACACATGCTTCGTATATGACACCAAAGGGCTTTATTTTGCCTTTCTTTATGCTTTGTGGCTTTCAGAATGCAGCATCACCCTCCTGTTCAAGTGATGCAAAATCAGCATTCCCATCCTGCTAAGAATGTGATAGATATTTCAAGAGTACTGAAAAAGTGATTGTACACAATCCAAAGAGGTCGGCAATAGCAGAAGAAAATGAGCACCCCCGGGCAGATTAGAAACTCGGTGCCTATGAGTTCATCATTAGGCTGCAAAGCACTTAGACCCAGATTTTAAAGGTATTTAGGCACTGTTGCACTCAGTGTTCCAATACCTAACCAATTCAGGAGCCTAGGTCTCATTTTCAAAAGGGATTTAGGCACTTAGGAACCAAAATCCCATTGACAGTCAATGAAGTGTTGTTGTAGCCATGTCAGTTCCAGGATACTAGAGACACAAGGTGGGGGAGGTAATATCTTTTATTGGGCCAACTTCTGTTGGTGAGAGAGAAGCTTTCGAGCTACAGGGACCTGAAGAAGAGCTCTGTGTAGCTCGACAGCTTGTTTCTCTCACCAACAGAAATTGCTCCAATAAAAGATATTACCTCACTCGCCCTAAATCCCTTCTGAAAATGAGACTTAGGCTCCAAAGTCAGCTAGGTGTTGCAATGCGGAATGTAGTAATGCCTAAATACCTTTAAAAATCTAGGCCTTAGTACATAATGATTTCCAATCGAAGTCAATGAGAGTTTAACAGGTCCTTAATTGCTTTGCTGAATCAAGGTCTATGTGTCTAAATAACCTTGACAATACTTAAGAGGACATTTTCTCAGAGATTATCTACGCTTGAGTAATGCTTTCATTATACTGAGTACATCAACATTCGATATGCATGTTACCACTCACATATGTAAACATAGTTGTTGTGGACAAACTGGTTTTGCATGAAAATCTCCACTAACCATTAATGTAGGAGTTCCTCATACCAGTGGTGGAGTATAGAGGACAGGCCTTGGGGATGAAAGGGAAAAGGATTTTTTTTAATTTGATTTTTCATCCACTGCCACAGAGCAATTGGTTTTATCTTTTGCTTTATATAATCTCAGCAGGTTTCAAAGAGGGCCTGGATGTTCACATGGATAACAAAAATATCCAGAGTTAGAATCGTTAGTGCTAACTGAAAGATTATTGGAAAGGATAAAACCTCACGTTTCAGAGTTTAAGACACTCTAACCACTGGGAATAGGATGAAACCTTCATGGGGGGCAGATTACCCCACATCTGCCTACTGTGGGGTTTCTTGCACCTTCCTCCAAAGCATTTGTTGCTAGTCAGTATTGGAGACAGGATACTGGACTTAATGGGCATTGAGTCTGATCTAGTATGGCAATTCCTATGTTCCTTGGCAGCTCTCCAATAGCAATCTCTATGCATGGGTGCAGTGGAGAACTAAGACCTAATATCTTGTTCTAGTCATGTGAGAACACAGTATATGCCGTTACACCAACAGCGTACACATGTAGCTGCCACAGAGGATGTGTAAAGAAAGCATAAGAAGCATTTTGGAGATGAGAAACAACAGCAGAAAGAGCATCTACTCGAGAAAGTCGCTCTTAAATCAGTCCTGCCATCCAGCCCTCATAAATCCATGCAGTCCATGAAGACTATTCTTCAATGGATGCCATTCAATTGGAAGAATTCTGTGTGAATGTCAGTTGCATACAAAACCTGTCAATATAGAATAGGCCAATCACCATTTGTTGGCTAGAGTTGTGGTAACATGTTTAAAAACATTATTTGAGCAAAAATTGCAGCCAATGCAACTGACTTGCTGCTGAGAAGAGATGCAGAATAAATATAAATAAATATCTGTCACATATGGTATGCAAAAGGTAAAACAAAGCCAAAATAGCACCCAAAATATGTACTCAAATTAGATCTCATTGAATTCCAGAAGATCATTTTTAAATGGTTAATATTCTTTGTAAAATTTAACCCAAACCAACATGATACAATATACTGTACACTGTATATAGTAGTTTAGTGAATTGTGCCAAATCCTTTAAGTCAGCTAGTAATACTTCTCTGTACTTAAAAAAAACCCACTGGGGGCTAACAACTGTTCTAGTCTATGTAGTATGATGTTAAGCATGCACTGTCTCTAAGTGATGTTGGTTTAGAGGTCATCAAGTAGTTACTAGTCCTATTTCTTGAGGAGCTAGCTACACGTGGAGGAATCAACAAACCACAGAGATTTATGTACCGGGTTTTCTAGCACCACCCAGAGATCTGAAGTGGTGCTCCAGGCCTGCTAAATCGAGAAAGGTGAATGATGATTCAACAAAATAACCTACGGACAGAATGCAAGACAAATGATTTTTCAAAATAAAGAAAAATAAAAAGCAAATGAGTTATACAAAGATAAGCAAAGCGAGAAGAGGAACATTTTATGGAAAAATAACTGTTTACTGAATTTTACAGTACAATAAAATAGATGTAATCTGACTATTTCTTGTCCTTTTTTGGTGACCAGATTGGTAAACACATTATTTCCTTCTAGATAAAAGAATGCAATACTTAAAGTGTATGCATTAAAGGGACAATAGATTTCTAATATATATCCACCATTTTCTGGTGCAAAAATCCATCAAGGACACATCTGAATTCTCTTCTTCAGTTTGAGGCATACCGTAACAGGGTACATACACATTATTAATCAGTAAATGCAGTTTCATTTAGAGAAGACAGTTATGCGATAGATCTTCAACCTATAACTTGTTACACTTTATGTTTTGCCCACTTCCAATTTCTCAATATCCACCAAAGTTTCAGTGTTCCTGTTTTGCCAACTAAGGTACTAAATATAACACAGCAGGTTTCAAAGAACATTTTCCCTTCCTATTTGTATTTTCAGCTTAAAATTAGTATTTTTTTAATTTCTACCAGAAATTCTTAAAATAATTTTCTCTTGCTGTCCTATGGTACCTAACACTTCCAAACAGTAACTTGTATTTGATTAGTGACACAGCGCATGCACACACACATAAGTGCACACAAACACTAGCAAAGCAGCAGAAGTGAGCAGTTTTAGATATAGATGGAGTTACAGGGTTAGTCAATTCCTCAGTGATGTTTAAGCTTTAGCTGAATTTCCCCTTGCTCCCTCTTAGCCAAGCAGAGAGTTAAAAAAACATGCCCATCTTCAAAACAATGCTAGGATCACGAATAAAGAACTTGAACTAATTAACACTGCATTACCTTCTTCTTTATGGGAACAAAGTATATCATACAGACCGGGAGCTTGGATGAGAAACTGGATCTCCCCCTTTACCTGTATTATTAATGCTGCTGCTTCTATGAATGGGTCCTCCCCAGGACCACCTGTTTTGCTTTTGTTTGGGCTTCTGGCTCCTCTCGATTGTACGGCGTACAACAGCTTCATGTCGTTCCTGCAGCACAACAGGAGAATGTATGAATATGTTTGGATGCTGCTGGGTTTTTAAAGAATATTCGCATCACACTGCACACTGACTTCCACCTGGACAAAATGTACTGGTCATCTTGGAGTCAAATGCAAATTGATAGGCAATGCTTCGTGAGAATTCCACTCAAAGAACTGAGCTAACGTCAAAGCAGGGCTTTATGGTAATTACAAAAATGTAACTGTGAAAATAGGAGGCCTGCTTGAGACCAGTAACAATGCGCATATTATTTGCATAACAGTAGCTCCTAACTGAAACTGGTGCCCTCTTGTGCTAGGCACTGTACATGAGACAGTCCCTGTTCTGAATTTCTTACAATCTAAGTGGATGTCTATGCTGCAACCGGAGCTTTGATTGCCGCTCAGGTAGGCATACTTCCGCTAGCTGTAGTCTAGATTACGCAGATAAAAATAGCAGTGAAGAGGCAGTGGCATGAACCCCAGTGTTGTCAAGCAACCCAGGGCTTGGGCTCGTTTGTACAGCCTGTGCTGCCACATCTTCTCTGCTATCTTTAGTCATTCTAGCTAGATAAAAGCTAGCCCAGGAACACCCGTATGAGCTGCAATCACACCTCTGATTGCAGTAGACATACTCTACATGGACAAGACAAGCAAAAGGTGGGAGGGAAAGCAGAGAGGTGAGCTCACTTGCCCATGGGTCACACAGCAAGTAGCTACCAGCTCATTCATTATACAGTTAAGGGGAAACAAATTTATTATTAAATCTACACTTACTGTATTCTCTCACTAGGGTGACCAGATGTCCCGATTTTATAGGGACAGTCCCGATTTTTGGGTCTTTTTCTTATATAGGATCCTATTACCCCCCCGACCCCCATCCTGATTTTTCACATTTGCTGTCTGGTCATCCTCTCTCTCACATTCCTGACAGTTTCTGAATTAGGCACTTAGTATTTAACTATGGTTACACTGAATCACTAGCAACCTACTATCAATACTACAGGTACCACAATTCATTTTTCTACAGGGTTTTAAATTTTGATTTTCAGGTCAGTTTTGGCTCTGCTGTGCCTTGCCACAGATGTATTTTAAACACACATATTATTAGACTGGGGAGATCAGTTTTGTAGAGGGACCCATAAAAAGTTGTATCAGTGCAGACACAGCTAAAAAAAAAAAGTTAAGTTAAAAAAGCCTTCCTTTTGCAACGTACCCTACGTTAACCTTGACTCACATTCCAACCCTGTTGCTAATTTTTAAATGACATATTGGTCAATTTGTTGCTATCATCATCTAGTGGAGAGCAAGTTGTCTGAAAGACTCTATGGAATGCCCTCTTACCTTGTCCTCTTCTATTCTCTGCTTTCGTTTTTCCTCTACTGCAGCTCGCCTTTTCTCTTCTTTTAGCCTCTGTTCTTCTAACTTCTTTTTGCGTTCCTCCAGGTGTTTTTCATAATGCTGCCGTGCCCTCTCTTCTTTTTCTAACCAGACTGATTCTCTTGCAGCTAAAAGAAAAGTAAAGTAGACATAAAATGTAAATATACTGTACCGTTTAGAATTGTAACACACAGCCTAGGCTGCTCACGATTGGTTGCACTTACCAACTTGTTTTTTAAAATCATATATATGTCCCAACTGAGCTTTATTAAGTGCTCACAGTACATTTACCTAGGTTGCACACTAACCTGTGTGCTCATACTTCAATTACTGTATAATATCAACATTAGGGTTACCATATTTAAAAATAAAAAAAGAGGACACTCCACAGGCCCTGGCCCCTTTCCCACCCCCGGCCCCGCCCCAACTCCACCCCTTCCCCAAAGTCCCCGCCCTAACTCCCCCTCCTCCCTCCCAGCCACGCGAAAAGGGCTCCCCGCAAACCATGAAGCCGGTAGCGCTCGGGCTTCGGGCAGCCCCCTTGCCTCCGGACCCTGCGCCCCCAGCCGGGCACTTCTCCTCCCCGGCTCCAGCTGCTCTGCTCCTCCCCTGACTCAGACTTCGGCTCTGTTTAAGAGCCAAGCTACCCGAGCCAGTGCTACCGGCTTCGGGCAACCCCCTTGCCTCCGGACCTTGCGCCGCCGGAGCAGAGCAGCTGGAGCCCGGGAGGGGAAGTGCCCGGCCGGCGGCTCGGGGTCCGGAGGCACGGGGGCTGCCCGAAGCCGGTAGCGCTGGCTCGGGCAGCTTGGCTCTTAAACAGAGCCAAAGTCTGAGTCAGGGGAGGAGCAGAGCAGCCGCGGGAGAGGAAGTGCCTGGCCGGTATTTTTCCCGGACATGTTCGGCTTTTTGGCAATTCCCCCCGGACGGGGGTTTGATTGCCGAAAAGCCGGACATGTCCGGGAAAAACCGGACGTATGGTAACCCTAATCAACATCAGAATTGGAAATAATGAAACTAACGTCTCAGAAAATTTGACTTATGCAAATGATTCCATGCCACTTTAAAATTCCTGAACTAATATGTATATTGTGTCCCACAGTTAGAGGCAATCCCTATTACTGTTTCATACACTGGGCCTCACAGCAGGCAAAAAAGCTATGCTCAGCTGCATTAAGTTGCAAAAGTGAAACTGTAAAAGCAACAGGCCTTTGTTTATCTAAAAGCCTCAGATGATAACACTTCACAATAAAGCTAAGTTTGACACAGGTTCCATGCAAAACTACGGATCACTCTAGATGTGAGAAGCAAGTTCATGCAATTTAAACATGTGACGAATGTAGACTGAGTTCTGTGTTTCAATAAATGCTGAAACCAGGCTAATTTGGTGTGGTTTCAGATTTCATTGTTAATATTTCCAACAACTCTACTCATGATTCCCACTAGCAATAAATAATGAAGGTGTGAGATTCAATTCGATAATAATACATGATAATTTTCTGCATCCATTCAATTCTAAAAGAATATTAACCCCAATCACCTGCCCACTGTTTATCTAACTGCAGAATAACAGGAGGGTCAATATAGTACTCCAGTATAATAAAGGTGGTTGGCATCGCAGTCTTAGGACCTCATCTAATTCCAACTGACTTCAGTGGGAGCTGGACTGGCCCTTAATGACCAGATCTATGTCAACAGCTACCTGTTATTCTATGAGGTAACAAATTAGCCACTGGAGAATCAGGAACTAAGGTGACCATGCCTTAACTTGCTACATATCACTGGTCTTAGAAAGTCCTCAACAGCTTGTTTCAGAAGCGTTCACTGAATCGAATGTGCAATGGAGTTGAACTTAACTCTGGACAATCGACTGACTGTTCATATTTGTCCCGTCCAGAATGTAGGCCCAAAATGGGGTCCGCTTTAAACTGTTACAATCTGATAAGAATGGACTTCTCCTACAGCTGTCATGAAAGTTACAGATCCCAAGATTTCCATTTGTTTATTTTTTAAATATCCATGACATTTGACAATTTCAGAACTTTCTGCATATTGATGAGCATGTATGTGTATGTCTGTGTGTACATATGAAGGTAATACTGCAACAAATGTTATTGAGAATTGTCTGGGAGGCTCAAAGAGTAAGAGCTCATTGAGGCAACATAGAGGACCAACCCACTGAGCTGTCAGAAAGAGCTTTAATTTCCCAGGGGGTCAGGAGGTTCTCCTTCTAGGTTAGAAAAGGCAATTTTTAAATGTAATTAAAACTATCTGCACAAAAGTTTGTCCCAGGATGGTAACACAGCACATACCTTATTATTTTTGTTAGTTACAAACATATACCAAAAGAAAAAAATAAAAACTATTTACAAGTTCAAAACAACAGCTGTGTCTTTTGATTGTTATGATAATTCTATTACTTTTGCTCATCATCATCTCCCTGAGAGTTTTCCGAGAACTGCCAGCAACAAATCATGTTTGCATTCTAAACTTTGTGTGTGCGCACACACGTATATTCTCCCTCCCTCTCAAGATCTACAGCTAACGAATATATTGTTTAAGTACATTTCAGTCCTAGAGTCTCCTCTGGATGAAAACAGCTTTTTCCCATTTCAGCTTTTCAAACACTGCAGAGAAAAATGGGTGGCACGTTCTTTTAAATATATCATCTCACTGTATATGCAAAATAGCAGGGACTGTTTTGAATAGGAATGATATTTGCTCAACTGTCACAAGCAATCAGATCATCCTACTGCAAGGATGAGGTCAAAAACATAGCAAGAATAGAAATTGTACAAAGACATTTAGCTGGAATAATTTAATCTACAATAAATTCTACAGCTGTGTGATTAACGTTGATATCAACAGGCTCAAAAAAAATCTAACATTTGTAGATGCAAAATAGCATACAAGACTCAGCAGAATACAGATCTGCAGGACATAAAAATGTATTCTTTTTCTACACTAGCTTGGATCTCTGGGTTGAAAGAAGCAGTTGAATAGCAGAGTAGCAAGAGTGGATAACCCACAGACCAACAAGCTCAATTATCTTTGTTGCAGTCTTGGGACATAACAGAATGTATGCAAAAATAGACCTAGGAATACATTATCTCTTAACTCAACACAGAGGAAACAGTTGCTATTGTAATGAGTACATTTAATCTGGCAATTTTTTGAGATATGTGGGTTTAGCCACCTATATGTAGTTTCTTCATAGGCTTGAGGGTCTCATGAACAGATTCTAACAAGAGTCTAAGACATGAAGCCACATTTTGTCTCTGAGTTTAACTATCTATGGTGTATATATATAGGGCCAATCTCCATAATATCTAAGTGCACATCAATAGGGTGGAGATAAAATCTTTAATTCCTACAAACTGATCTACTTCAAATTATCTTGATAGTGGGACAGCATCTGGGAAAGAAAACCGTCCTGTCATGAGCCTTCCAGTAGGCTAAGACAAGACACTTGTGGGACACAGCGTGTAGGCATTTGTCTAAACTCTTCTGGAAAAACAAAATCTGATTCTGAAGTAGGGAGAAAAAAAAATAATGGAGCAAATATTCCAGCCCCCTTTTTCCTCCCCAAGATGAACAGCAGTCTTTGCTGGTTGACTTCAGCATTGACATTCACTGAGGTCAGCAAAGGACCACCTAAGAGAGAGTTTCTTCTCTTTGTACTGACAAGCTTATTAACAGGCCCTGATGAAGAATGTCTTGTCTGGATACATAAGTGGACAGAGTACTGAATGGCTCATTAGACCCTGAAGCCATATCCACAAGAAGTATTATGGAATAATTAAGATGGTTACCCTGGATTCGCTGACCTTTTACAGATGACTCTTGTGATCACTTATTCCAAGGTCTTTCATGGCTCCCTGTCTTTTTCTCTATCACATTCAATTTCCGTTCCTCATCTTCAAAGCACTGTAGAATTCTGCTTTGGACTACATCTCAGTACTTGTAGCCCACATCTCTGTCAATGCCTACTGCCCCCTCTTCTAAGCCATACTCTGCCACCAACTTCTAGCTTAGCGTGATTTTACTCGAAAATTGATGATGCAAAAACAGCACAGGGTTGGAAGTAGGATGCTGGGGGTGCTAGCCTGAAGTGGTTTCCATCATATACAGGGTTTACAG